CACCCCTCACTGTGGCGTGGTCCACGGAGTCCCAGGCAAGGCTCCCCTGCCCTTACACCCCCGTGCTTCCTCTTTGTAGCCATCAGACTCCACCAAGCGCCCGCTCACCCTCGCAGGCCAGTTCAAGCAGTCGCTGGACCAGCTGATGAGAATCCTTACCCACTGCCAGCCCTACTTTATCCGCTGCATCAAACCCAATGAGTACAAGAAGCCGCTGGTAACTGGGAGAGACTGGGGGGGGGGTGCCAGGGTGAGGGAGGGTACTAAGGGGCTGAGTTTGACACCTAGAGTTGACATCCAAGGTGTGGCCAGCATTACAGCTGTCCCTTGTCCCCAAGTTACAGACAACCGGTGTGAGTTGGCTACAGCTCAGTGATCGGCGGAGCTTCAGCACACTCACACCCTAGCTCCTTAGTCCATCCTCTGTCTGCTGTGTCTGTGACAGGTTCTGAGCTTCTCTGGGCCTCACTATCTTTTATCTTCCATAAAGTGAGACTTATTCTTGTCTATAGGATGTTAAAAATGAAGCTATGGTCACAAGAGTGCCCATATGACCCGAAGTATCTTTGAAAGGCAAAACTTCAGCTCTGTAGAGGGCTGATCTGCAGTGACAAGCTCTGGCAAGCCAGAGCACCTAGTTGGAAGTCCACCGGGACTTTATTGTTCCAGGGTTCCATGTTACGCTCTTGTTGGTCAGACATTGGCCTCACATTCTTACACTATTGGCTCATCTGTAAGGAGCAGTGCAGTTTGGCTATTTGGGCCAGCGTTGGCATTTGGAAAGGTGAAACTCAGGCGAATCAAAGTTACATTTGGGAACTAGAAACTTATGTGAGGGTTTACAAAATGACATTTTCTCAAAACTGAGTGGCCTTGTCTCAGCTAACCTTTTGATAGAAGAGGCACTATGCTTCTCAGAAGGCGATGCTACGGCACATCTCCTACACAGAAGCCACACCAGCAAAGGGCACCAGCTGTTTCGAAGGCTGGAACTGAAGGTCAGACTGGCTCCTGTGGCGAGATCTGGAGGAGCTTTCTCCACATGTGGTGGGGAAGGTTAACCCTGTGATGCCCTGAGCTAGCGAATCTACCTCCTCCAAAGGCTGTAAGCACATGGGCTCCTCAAACTGGGAAATACAATTTGCAAAAACAAAATAGCTAAAAACCCTGTTATAGGGGAATAAAAAAGTATACTTGTTAGTGTATATATGCGTGTGCATATGTGCGTAGGGCGTCACAGATGCACATGAATGACAGAGTTTGATATTGTATATCTTCCTTTAGTGCTCTCTAACTTACATAGCTTTTAAAAATTACTTCATTGTGTGTGTATGGATGTTTCGCCTGCACGCATGTACGCATGTACCACGTGTGTGCTTGATGCCCCCACCAAGGCCAGAAGTGGGACTGAAACTGGAGTTATGGATAGTTGTGAGCTGTAATATGGGTGCTAGAAAGTAAACCCAGGTCCTCTGGAAGAGCAGCTGGGGTTCTTCACTACTGAGCCGTCTCTCCAGCAGCACCCTCCCATGGGCACATGCATGCAGAGCTCAGAAGAGACTGTCAGATCCCCCGGAGCTGGAGTTACATGCCATTGTGAGCTACCTGGACATGGATGTCAGGAATCAAACTTAGGTCTTCTGGCAAGAGCATGGGCGTTCTGAATCGCTGAGCCATCTCTCTGGCCCCTCCACCTTTTTGTTGAGACAGGGAGTCTCCAGGACCCCAGAGCTTGCAGATTTAGCTAGATTAGCTGGCCAGCTGAGACCTGTATCCTCCTCTCATCGCTGGGATTGCCAGCACATGCCCAGGTTTGGTGGTGGTGGTGGTGGTGTGTTTAATGTGTGTTCTGATGGCTCAAAACTCAGATCTTCATACTTTCCTGGAAAGTACATTACCATCTGAGCCGTCTTCCTGCCCCAAAACAAAATTCCATGTGAGCTGACAAGTGGCTCAGTGGGTATGAGCACTTGCTGCCAAGTCTGCTATCCTGAGTTTGATCTCCAGGACCCACATGATGGAAGTAGAGAACCAGCTTCCACAAGCTGTCCTCTCACCTCCACAAACGGCACACATGTACACAGAGTTTGATACACATGGTAAATAAATGTAATAGAAAATAAATCTAATAAATAAATATTATAGTAAGTGAAGTACTTTTAAAATAGGATGCAATTATATATAATATGGAGAGGGGGGTTGTTTCATAGAAGCTAGTATAGCAGCTACTATAGACAAAAGTCTTTATTCCTCATGCTGGAATTGTTCTGTCTTCACCTGTGTCTAGCTTGCTCTCTCAGTCAACCTCTCTGCAAAACTCTCCGGCAAAACAGCCTCCTCTCTTCTCTGCATTGACTTTTAAGCAGCTTTCCTTTCCTCTCCTCCTGAGATATGGGTGTGTCCTATTCTATCAGATCTCTGATTCACCACTTTTTCTGCCAGTTTCAAACATGGGTGTCTCCTTCTACAAAACATCTTTACCTTCATTGTTTGGGATTAAACGTATGTACCACCATGCCTGGATCTAAGCTTTTCTTTACCTGAAACTTGCTTTATACCAGAATGGCCTCGAACTCAGATCTGCTTGCCTCTGTCTCCTGAATTAAAGGTGTGTTTGTATTCCAGCCAGATCACACAGACCTAGAAGGTCTTTGGATATGATCTCTTACCAGAGCAGCCATGTTCTGAATTAAAATTTCTCTCTCTCTCTCTCTCTCTCTCTCTCTCTCTCTCTCTCTGTGTGTGTGTGTGTGTGTGTATGTAGGCCAGACAACTTCTGGTGTTACTCATCAGGCACTGTCTTAGTTAGGGTTTCTATCACTGAGATAAAATACCATTTATTTATTTATTTATTTATTTATTTATTTTGAGACAAGGTTTCTCTGTGTAGTCCTGGCTGTCCTGGAACTCACTTGCTAGATTAGGCTAGCCTCACAGAAATCTACCTGCCTCTGCTTCCTGAGTGCTGAAATTAAAGGCATGCACCACTACCACCCAACTGAGGAAAGGGTTTATTTCAGCTTATGGTAGGTTCTACCTCACGGTCAATCACTCAGGGAAGTCAGGGCAAGAACCTGGAGGCAGGGGCTAAAGCAGAGGTCATAGAGGACTGTGACTTATTAGCTTGTTCTTCATGGCTTGCTCAGCCTGCTTTCCCATACCCCCCAGGACCACCAGCCCAGGGGTGGCACCACCCACACTGGACCCTCCCACATTAATCACTAATTAAGAGAATGTACCACAGGCCAGTCTGGTGGAGGCATTTCCTCAACTCGGGTTCCCTCTCCACAAATGGCTCTCGCTTATGTCAAGCTGACACAAAACTAAACCAGCACTGGCATCATACACCTTATTTGTGAGACAGGGTCTCTTCATGGCTAGGCTAGCTGGCTAGTGAGCCCCAGAGAGTCATCTGCCACTAGCTCTCCAGAACTGGGATTACAGACGCATAACACCATGCCCTGCTTTTTTTTTTTTTCCACATGGGTTCTGAATCTCAAACTCAGGTCCTCATGTTTGCACCTTACCGGCTAAGTTATCCTCCCAACCTGCAAATGTCTTTCCTATTCCTGGTACTGTACATGTCTTGAAATTGATGGAAACATAGTGTTCTTAAGGGTTCCAGAATATCTCTCTCTCTCTCTCTCTCTCTCTCTCTCACATACTCACATCTCACTATACCCAAGGCTGGCCTTCTAACCCTCCTGCTTCTGCCTCCCAGGTGTTATATGTATGGGCCACCCCAGCTGACCTGGATTCCAGTTTCTGTATTATTGTCTTTTATGTCCTTGGAGACCCTTTCAGCCACTCCCGCTGCTGTCTTCAAAAATTCATTTGAAATCTGGGTTCCGTATTACATGCTTGTAATCCCAGCACATAAGCGATAGAGGCAGGTTGTCATGCTTGGCTATATATCAAATTCTGGGCACACATCTAATAAAAACAGTCATTTCTGTTCAATTGAGCATTTGTTACATTGTTCTGGTCTTTGGGGGATAGCTGGGTGGGTCCCTAGGCAAGCTGAGCCCCACCGGCAGCAGCAACAGTGAATGTCTTTGAAGGATTGGATCCTTGGCTCCTCAGCCCAGTTTTTCTACCCACAGCTGTTTGACCGAGAGCTGTGCATTAAGCAGCTGCGTTACTCCGGCATGATGGAGACTGTGCACATCCGCAAGTCAGGTTTCCCCATCCGATACACGTTTGAAGAGTTCTCACAGAGGTTCCACATGCTGCTGCCCAGCCCTGAGAGAGTGCAGGTGCGTGTCTAGAAGTTGTGCCTCCCATTGAGTCTTCTCCGCCTTCCCGATTTCTGAAACCCTCCCTGGATACCTAGCCTCAACATGCTTTCAGTGCCCTTCCTTTCGCCTGCCTACTCTGTCTTTGTGCTGTATAGGCACAGTGCCTGACTCTGGTTGATACTGGTGGCTGTGGGTCCCTTTTTAGATGTCTGTGGGGTTGTTACTCTGCTCTCCTGGGACCACCGTGTCCAGGATCTGGCATGTGGCTCGGAAGCTCTGTGGGATGGGGTGTTCTGAACTCCTGCAGCCATCCTAAAGTTTGGATTGGTTTGGGGCTAAGTGTCCCCAATCTACATGGAGGCCCCAGGCCCACCAAGTACCCTGGGTGCCCCTCATCCACTTAACCTGGAGTGTAGGCAATTGCCTGTGTATAGTCAGACAGCCACTGTTGGGAGGCGCGTATGGAAGGGCACTCCTGCTTGGGTAGCCCTGGAGGAGGCCCCATTCCCTCTCCAGAGTTTCGGCTACTCCTGGTTCTCCTAACAGTTTCAAGACAAGCACCGCCAGATGACCTTGCGCATCGCTGACCTGTGCCTGGGGACAGACAAAGACTGGAAAGTGGGAAGGACCAAAATCTTCCTGAAGGTGAGATCCTGGAGAGCACTGGCTGCCTCTGGCCTCCTGAGAACAGCAGGAAGGGGAGGGAAAGAGCTCCACCCATGATTGCTCCTGTCCCCAGCTGGGCTGTGGGTTCCTCTAGCCATCCATTCATGTGCTGGTTTGCCCCTTCCTGGGGATCTGGGATCCAGGAAGGATATTGTAGGGACGGGGTAGCAGAGGGAATATGGAGTAGCCATGAGAGGATACACAGAGCAGCACAGGTGAGGCTGGTGTTGGGGAAGGAATGGGAAGAGAAGATTCGACCCTGCATTCCTGGTTCTTTGAGGCCACACCTAAGGTCTGGTCCAGTTTTCTGTCCTCAAGCTCACCAGGGCACACGAGAGACTCAGTCCTTCTGATGCTAGATAGAGGAAGGAGGGAGGAAAAGAAGGGGCAGGGAAGAAGGATGGGAGAACAATTGAGCCCCCAACTTCTTCTCCCCACCAGCCAAGGTACCAATGCTCTCTGTCCTGCAAAGATAAACCCTCCCTTCTTGGAGCTATGATGACAGACTTGTGCTTCATGTGTCAGGCCTCAGGAAAGAAACCAGGAAGAGTAAGAGGCAAGACAGACACACACATGGATAAAGACAATCTCATGTTAGCTCCCATGAACTCTGCTCATGGGTTTGGGGGACTATTTTTTTTACCCAGAAATAAGCTCAAGTGTGTTATATAGTCATAATGCAAATGTTGTGTGACTTTGGGAAACAAAGACTGTCAGGTTGAAAGAGCAAAAGACAAAGCCAGAATAAGTTTGGCATTAGGATGAGGTGGAGTTGCAGCTTCATTCGGAACCACAGCAGGGTTCCTTCTTTGCTAATCCTCGTAGGAGAGTCTGGGAAACACTGGCTGTTGGAGACCAGGACCTGGTGCCAAGCAAGAGTAGTGGGAGGTGAGGGAGGGATAGCGACACTGTGATGTCACCCATCCTCAGGATCATCAGGACACAATGCTGGAGATCCAGAGGAGCCAGGCCCTGGATGGAGCAGCTCTTTGCATCCAGAGAGTCCTTCGGGGACACAAATACAGGTACCTGTCGCCATAAGCCATCTTAAAGTTTGGATTAGTCTGAGGCTAAGTGCCCCACAACTATTTGGGGACCCCTATGCTCACCAAGTACCCTATGTGCACCTCACCCACTTAATCTGGAGTGCAGGCTAGATGCAGTCAGCAGGCACACCATGTCCACCAGGCAGGCCTGGGAGAGGACAGAAGGACAAGAACTCCTCAGTGGGGTCACTCAGCCGATGCTGATAATTCTAATGCAGAGAAGAGGGAAGCCCCCATGGACACCAACCTGCCCTGGCACATTAATGTTGCTGCAGGACTACCCTCACCCTCTCCCTCTGACCCAGACAAGGCAGCCTTGGAGTCATGCGAGGCTCCTGTCCACAAGCACAGCAGGGTAACATTAATGGTATCAGGGATTGGTTCTCTCCCATGGAACGGGTCTTGAGTAGGTCCAGTTTTCTCTACGCCACTCCCTCAATCTTTGCTCCATCTTTGTCCCTGCATGTCTTGCAGGCAGGACAAATTTTGGGCTGAAGGTTTTTTTTTGTTGTTCTTTTTATTTTTGCGGGGGGCGGGGGTTGGTGTCCTTCTCCCTCCACTGGAAGTCCTGCCTGGCTACAGGAGGTGGCCACTTCAGGCTCCATATTCCCCACTGCTAGAAGTCTCAGCTAGAGTGACCGCCCTACCCCACCCACAGACTTCCTGAGGCTTCCTCTACCCCAGGTCTCTAGCAAGTCCCAGAAATGCCCCCACCTCCGATTTCCATTTCTCACCCAGCCCTCTCTCCTCTGCTCTCCCTACTGCTAATCCCTACCCCTGAGCCCATCCCCATCCCCTCTCCTACCCAGTTCCCTCCCTCTCTCCACCTCCAATACCTGTTTTTTATATCAACCTCAGGCCTCCACATATATGTGCAAACAAGCACAGAGACATACATACCTACACACATGCAAACATGCATGCACATGTTCAACACATACACCTGAAAACGAAAAAAACAAGAAATGAAAAGGTGGCAATTGGTTCTGTTTTTTCAAAGATCTTGGTAGAATGTAAAGGGATGAGGAAGGATTTCTTTTTTTTTTTAAACTAAGATTTTTTTAAATATTTATGTATTTATTATGTATACAATGTATGCCTACAGGCCAGAAGAGGGCACCAGATCTAATTATGGATGATTGTGAGCCATCATGTGGTTGCTGGGAATTGAACTCAGGACCTCTGGAAGAGCAGACAGTGTTCTTAATCTCTGAGCCATCTCTCCAGCCTGAGAAGGGATTTCTTGATTGTTTGTTTTTTTTTTTTTTGTTTTTTTTTAAACTGGATTATCATCCTTTAAAAATGTGGGGGGGTTTTGTTTGTGGGGCTGAGGATAGAACTGGAAACTTTGTACTAGGTAGATGCTCTACCACTGAGCTACATCCGTAGCCCAGAGATTTGGGTGTTTCTTGTTTGTTTGTTTGTTTGTTTCGAGACAGGGTTTCTCTCTGTAACGTTGGCTGTCCTGGACTCTTTTTGTAGACCAGGCTGGCCTCAAACTCACAGTAATCTGTCTGCCTCTGCCTCTCAGAGTGCTGGGATTACAGGCATGCACCACCACGCCTGGCTGAGATTTGGGTCTCTGGACTCTACCCTGCATGTACATCCTTTGGTCTGCAAAGGCTTCCGAACATATGTTGTCCAGATTCCTCTCTCCCCCATATTTTATTTCCTATTTTTGTGTCCAAATCACTGGCTCCTAAACACTGTTTGAGGTCTAGGAGAGTTATTGAATGCCTCTAATTTGCATTTCCCCTCTAGGAAGGAGTTTCTGAGGCAGAGACAGGCAGCTGTGACCCTCCAGGCGCTGTGGCGAGGCCATTGCCAAAGAAAGAATTTCAAGCTGGTGAGAGACAGAGCTTGGGAAGATGGGCTTTCAGGGGCCTCGGAAAACTGACTCATGAAAGACACATCATTCACGATTGTTTCTCTGAATCAGAGCTGCCAGGCGGGAAGAGTTCCACTGCTATATAGAAGGCAGATTTTAAACGAGTGGTCCCCTCCAGAATTTTGGGCATCCTCCAGAGTTGGGCTGGGATGATGGCCACCCTTCTCCCCCACGTGGAGTCACTCAGCTAACTAGATGGATGCATCTCGGGTTACAGCATTCTCTCCTCTTTTCTTACGGCCCCAGGTCCCAGATACTAACTCTGTTCTGTGTGAATCAGAGTGGCCATCACTGTACCCTCCTGGGCCTCACTTGACCCCTTGTTCTTAACACAACTAGGACAACTGAAGCACAAGAGGGTCATGTCAGCCACTGGCCCCGACTTGCAGCACTCCTCAGTCACAAAGTTCATGGTGGTAGCTCACACGTAAGGAGGAGTCGCCTGAGGGCCTGCTGTACTGAGCGCATTGATTTATTTAGTAGGGACCACTCTCTAAGTAAAGGAACAGTAGCATAAAGGGCTTAAATACATTTGCTCAGGAGTGACATGCCTGGCTTCTATGTGTCTGTGTGACTTTCAAACCCTTAGGCTGGCCCACTAAGTTAGTCTTTCAGCCAGCAGGCTCATCCTGGAGACCCAAGGACTTCTGTGGCCTGGTATAGACTGGTGTCCATCCACTTCTTACTCTCCTATTTTAAACACACCTAGTACCTGAGTGGGCTCCACACCAGAGCTCATTGTCCAGGACATGGTTAACTCAGCTGTGAAGCCTGTGCCAGCCTCCTGTTTACATTGCATTAGTTACTTTTGCCTGACAAAAGCAACTTAAGGGAGGAAGGCTTATTTTGGCTCATAGTTCAAGGAGATACAGTCTATCCTGCTAAGGGAGTCCTGGCAGCAGAAATACCAGACGTGCCAGTCACATTACATGCACCATCAGGAAGCAGAGGGCAATGAGTTCCTATGCGCAGCCAGACTGCTCCTTCTTATCAAGTCCAGAAACCCAACCCATGAGATGGCGCTGCCCACATTTAGGGTAGAGCTACTTAGCTCAATTAACCTTATCTTGAAAACTCTTCACAGACAGGCCCAGAGATTTGTCTCCAAGGTGATTCTATACCTGCCAAGCTCACACTCAATATAAACCATCACACATACTATTTACCAGGTGCTTATTTAGCACTCATACGAACCGTAGGCTGCGCTCCAGTCTGCAAGTAGTTAATAGGCTCGTGCATATTAGCAAACATGTGTATTTGTGACACCAGCACTGTACCAAAGAGCAGGTGACTAAATTATATTGAGGGTCTCCCAAGGAGAGCCACTCTCTGCTCACTCAGGAAAGCCATCATGCAGTAAACCTACTACCTCCTGCTTCCACAGATCCTAGTGGGCTTTGAGCGCCTCCAGGCCATTGCCCGAAGCCACCTGCTAGCAAGACAGTTCCAGACATTGCGGCAGAAGATGGTGCAGCTGCAGGCCCGCTGCAGGGGCTACCTGGTGCGACAGCAAGTCCAGGCCAAAAAGAGGGCAGTGGTGATCATTCAGGCACATGCCAGGGGCGTGGCTGCCCGGCGGAACTTCAGGCAACAGAAAACCCTTGTAGGCCACTTGGTAAGAAAGTGAGGTAGGATTGGCTGGGGCAAAGAGGGAAACTGATGAGCAGCAATTAAGAGTGCTTGTGAGAAGGCCCTTTAGAATATCTGACATCCTTACACAGAGATGTTGAAATCCACTCAGTCACTAGCAACATAGGAAACATCGAGGAAGAAAACTGGATGCTCCTGGGGCTACAATTGAGATGGTACAAAATGACTGAGAAGAGAGCTCAGTTGGTAAATGTGTTAGGGATTCTATTGCTGTGAAGGGCACATGGCAATACTTATAAAGGAAAACATTTAATTGGGACTGGCTCACAGTTCAGAGATTTAGTCCATTGTCCTCATAGCAGAAAGCATGGTGGCTCAAGGCAGACATGGTGGGGGGAGAGGTAGCTGAGAGTTCTACGTCTGGATTGGCCGGCAGCAGGAAGAGAAAGTGACACTGGGCCTGGCTTGAGCATCTGAAACCTCAAAGCCCTCCCAGTGACATGCTTCCCCCAGCAAAGCCACACCTACTCCAACAAGGCCACACCTCCTAACAATGCCACTCCTTTTGGTCCTATGGGGGCTGCTTTCATTCAAACCACCACAGTCAAGTACTTGCTGTTTTCTGTTGCTGCAATAAATAACCCTGACAAAAGCAATTTAAAGGAGAAAGGGTTTATTTAGGAAAGTCAAGGTTACAGGAAGTTGAAACAGCTAGCCATCTTAGAATCTGGCAAGAGCAGAGACCAGTAAAGGTCAACACGTGTGTGGTAATGCTCAGGTCCTTCCTCCGCACATATAATCCAGGAGCAGCTGGCCACAGAATGGTGTAGCCTTTGGTGGGTAGTCTTTTCATATCAATTAATGTAACCAAAATAATTCCCCCATTGACATGCCCACAGACCAACCAGATCTAGACAGTTCCTTTTAGTGACCTTCTCTCCATGGGGTGTGTACAGGGACCTCAGGTCACGCCGGCTAAGGAGAAAAAGGGTCAAGGTGCTGTCCCTGATAGGAAGCAGAAGTCCATCTATGACACTGTCACTGACACGGCGATGGTGGAGAAAGTGTTTGGCTTCCTCCCAGCCATGATCGGAGGTCAGGAGGGCCCAGCCCCAACACGCTTTGAGGTAGGATGGTGCATGCAGGGATGGAAGGACCCTTGTTGGGCTAACTGGGGCTAGTGATGTGCACTCCATTACTGAAAGGTTGGCCCGTGTCCTCCCTATGTGGCCCTCCCAGGATCTGGAAGTAAAGACCCAGAAACTGCCTGAGATTGATCTGGATACAGTGCCCATGATGGAGATGCCGGAAGAGGATGTGGACGGCCTGTCCGAGTATACCTTCCCCAAGTTTGCCGTAACTTACTTCCAGAAATCAGCCAGCCACACCCACATCCAGAAGCCTCTCCGATACCCACTCCTCTACCACGAAGATGACACTGACCACTCGGTACCAGCTGTTCTCTGGTTTCTATGTGGCCCAACCTGCTCCCCAACCCCAGTGCTGGAACCAACCATGTCTTCTGTCTCATTTTCCAGGCAGCTCTGGCTATTTGGACCATCATCCTGAGGTTCATGGGTGACCTTCCGGAGCCAGTGGTCTATGCCAGGAACAGCCTGAGTGGCAGCTCAGTGATGCGGCTGGGCAAGGACAGCGGCCCTCGGGGTCCACAGCACAACAGATCAGCACAGGTATGTGGTAAGGGCAGCAGACAAGTGTCCACCAAGAAGGACCCAGGAAGCTGGGTGGAAGCGTCATCTTCCGAACCCAGTGCCTGAGACTGAAAATGCTTTTGGGAATTCATAAGTCAAGAACAGCACCAGGACTGCTGGGATGTTGCAATCATGAATTGAGAGGGTCTGCCAAACTCCAAACACTGGCTTTGATTCCACCTAAATTCAAATTAACATTAAGAAACAAACAAACAAACAAACAGAACAGATGTTTGAGGCTCCAGCTACAGCTCAGTTGGGGGAGTGCTTGCCCAGAACGAACAAAGCCCTGAAGCCCCTGAAGCCCGGTCCCCAGAATTATACCACCCAGACGAGTGGGGCACACTTGCTACTCCAGCACTCAAGGTCTGGAGGCAGGAGGATGAGGATTTCAAGGTCATTCTTGGCTATGTAACAAGTGGGAGGCCAGAGAAAGAGATGACGAGAAGGCAGATAAGTAAGGCTGGAGAGCCGACTCAGCGGGTAGAAGCCTTTGCCATGCAAGCTTGAAAACGGATGTCAAATCCCCCAGACGGAGCCAGGCAGGATCATGCGCAGCCTCGCCTAGCAGGCCACTGAGGAAGCGGGGGTTTGGGAGAGGGGCAATCAGAAGACTCTCCTAAAGCCGCCACCCTGAAGGGGAGGGCTGGCGCCTGCGGCTGTCCTCTGACTCCCCACACGTGCACTGTGCCATGCACATGTCTGCACACACGCACACAAAACAAAAGAACGGCTGCTGCTCCTGGCTGATAGGCAGCCCACTTTGCTTTCCTTCTTGCCCCCAGGTACCCCAGCCCTATAAAGTATCCATTATTATGTTTCTCTAAAGCTGATGAAGCAAGTCAAATGACTCTGCCCCCAAACTGCAGTGAACACGTATGTAGGAACTAGCTTTAAACCCGCTCTGCTGAATTCAGAGTTCCTTCCTCATTCATTTCTGTGCCTAAGATTGAATCCCAACCCTGGTGCATCTTAGGCGTGCTAAGCTGCACCCCCATGTCATGTCATGCCCTTTGATGGACCTTGGCGGGGGTGGAGAGGGCTAGCATGCTGTTGCACAAGCATGAGGACCTGAGTTCAAGCTCACTAGTACCCTCATAAGCTGGTTGTGGCTGGTTGTGACTGGCACTAGAGATAGCTGAGCAGTTAAGAGCAGGTGTTGCTCTTCCACACGAGTTCGATTCCCAGCACCCGTGTCAAGCAGCTTGCAAACACCTGTAACTCCAGCCCCAGGGGAATCCAGTGCTTCTGTCCTCTGGGCACCTTCATTCATGTGCACATACCCACCCACACATACACATAGTTAAAAATAATAAAAACAAAAGCTTTTTTTTTTTTAAGCTGAGCGTGGCAACTCGTGCCTGTAGTCTAGGCACCGGCAAGGTAAGGAGTTGAAACAAGAGGGTCCCTGGATCTTCCTGGCCAGCCGGCCTGGCCGAGGCAGCCAGTGCTAGGTTAGGTGAAAGGCCCTGTCTCAAAAAGGAAAGTCGAGGAGGCTGGAGAGATGGCTCGGCAGTTAAGAGCACGTCTTCCAGAAGACTCTTCGGTTCCCAGGACCCACAATGGGCTATTTGTAACTGATTCTAATTCCAGGTCCACAGAATCCAACACCCTCTTCTGGACTCTTTGGGCACATACACATAAAATTAAAAATAATAATAACAGTAATATGGAGAAGCGATTGAAAAAGACACCTGATACTGATCTCTGGCCCACATACATGTGTATGTCGGCCTGTGCCCTCAATGCCCCCGCACACATACATATCCATATTTACATACACACAATTTTAAAACAATTCCTAACATCTTCTGGCCAAGGCCTCCTTACGGCCCGGTTTCAGGCAATGAACTAACCAACATGCAAAGGAATTAGTTAAGCAGCAGTGACAGCGCGGGGGCGCGCTGCAGCAGTCCAGGAGTGCTGCACACGCCAGGTCCCCGGGACCCACCATAGGTACCCTGAGGTCCCATCTGCTGACGAACGACAGGGGAGCCTAAAAGCCTCTGCGGCCCTGGTTGCACGGACATCCCAGCACCACCGTGGCTTCGGCTCCACCAGGGTGTGTCAGGGTAGCGTTCGCTGCGTAACAGGTTACACAGAAGCGCAGCAGCTTATGTCAGGGCACACTGGCTCTTCCCGGGAGTTGGGAGGGGCTTGGACGGGTCTCTCATAAAGTTGCTGCCAAACTGTCCACTGTAGGCTTGACCTGAGTGAGTGCGCTCCCAAGATCACGGAATGGTGCATCCGTCCCAGCTCTGTGGTCCCTGTCTTGAGCTATCTGGATGTCCTCACAACATGGTTTTTCTTCACCCTGAGTGAGCCAAGATGAAAAAAATGTAGTATCTAGACTTAGAAGTCACACACTTCATGAGGCAAGGGCACAGCCAGAGCAGGAATGCCAGAAGGTGGAGATCACACTGGAGGCTGATGGCCTTCCCAGGCGGAGACTCTGGAGTGCAGTCTAGATAGCAGCTCTCCTCTAAAGGGTGGACACAAGAACGCTGGACTGGCTTCCTGGGGTCAGGTCTTGAATTTCTTTCATGCTTATGTTCCCTGACTCGGCCAAGCAAGCCCTTCCCGTGTCTCACACTCAGTTCCTATACTCAAAGCCAGCTTTGCTCAGCCAGAGATGGAATCTAGCCCTGAGTTTACCTCAACCCAAGCTCAGTCTCGTACCAGGCTCTAACAGCAAATTCTTACAAGGGTGCAGTTGGAGTCAAGGTGCATCCGCTGCCCCCAACCAGTGCTACTGGCTTTGTGTGTTGATCCAGGAAGTGGCTGAGTATCAAAGGCAAGGCAGATGCTCTAGGTCTGGTGGCTACAGGGTCAACCACATGCGCATTCACATGCCCTTGGTCCCTTGTCTGCAGGTGGGATGGAGGGGCCAGTCATATCTCCTCATAAGGCCGACGTGGTCCTCATGGATCACTGGCCAGGTGAGCCCAGCTAGGAGATTTGTCAGTATCAGAGGGCTACAGGGTCCTACGCCGTCGCTTCCATCCCACACATCTGTTTCCTCCTTGGCAAATAGGTCAAGCTGTGCTAACGGCTAACTGTGGACTTCTAGGTGGCCAGCCAGCTGAACATTGGTGAAGAGGTGTTCAAGCACGATGGCCCTGTCTCAGACAGACCCATGACTAACCTGGAGAAGGTGCATTTCATCGTGGGCTACGCCATCATGCGTCCAGGACTCAGGTCAGTCTCTGCTCCGGCTTCTGTTCAGAATATCAGGCCTCTTCACTGGCACCAAGCCCATGATGGCATCAGCCATCTGCCTTGTGGTACCGGGTATTCAGCTGCTCTCTGACCTGGTACTGTAGGCTCAGACTCAGCACAGCAGAAAGCCACCTGGGGCTCTCTGCTTGCTTTGTTAAGAAAAGCCATGAGGGGCCGGGGAGAGGGTTCAGTTGATTCCACCTCTGCACTGCAACCGGAATTTGATCCTCCAGAACCCATGTCAAAAAAAAAAAAAAAAAAAAAAAAAAGCCAGGGAAAGCAGCATTTATCTGTAAGGCTTACTGGCACTTGCCAGCCAAATCAGGAAGTCCCAGGCTAAGAGACCCTGTCTCAAAAACTAAATAAGGTAGAGAACAACCAAAGAAAACTTCTACAAGCCCCCACACACAGATGCCCACACACCCACACATCCCTCTATGTGAGAGGGATATGGGGAGAACCCGATGGTCAGACAGCTTTAAGACAGGTTCAGCGTGGCCCAGTCAGTTACTCACTTCATTTTGCTGCTTTGTCTTGGTTTTTGAGGCACTGCCTCACTGGGTAGCCTTGGCTGGCCTGGAACTCTTGTGCAATTTGCTTTAAAAGAATTAGAGCATGGAGTCTGGGTTGCCTCATGCGGAATGATTTTTTTTTTCTAGTTCTGTTCATTCACCTGCAAATTTCATGATTTCATTCTTTTTAATGGCCAAGTGATACTCGATTGTGTAAATGTACCACTTTTTTAAAAAAATCCCTTCTTCTGTCTGCTGACTGATATCTAGGTTGTTTCCAATTTCCAGCTTTTATGAACAGAGCAGCAATGAACATAGCTGAGCAAGTGTCTATGTGGTAGGATGAAGCATAATTTGAGTATATGCCCAAGAGTGACGCAGTTGGATCTTAAGTTAGATCTATTCCCAGTTTCCTGAGGAGCTGCCACACTGATTTTCGTAGTGGCAGTACAAGTTTGGACTCTCATCAGCCACAGATGAACGTCCGCTTACTCCACATCTTCACCAGCATGAGCTGGTTTGTTTTATTTGTCTTGGCCATTCTGACAGGTGGAACAAGAAATTTCAAAGCACTTTTGATTTGCATTCCCCTGATAATTAAGAATGTTGAATGCTTCTTTAAGTTGTTGTAGGCCATTTGTATTTCCTCTTTTGAGAATTCTGTTTAGATATGTACCCCATTCTTTTTTGTACCCCATTCTTGATTGTGTTGTTTGTTTTCTTGATGTCCAGTTTTTTTGAGTTCTTTATATGCCTTAGATATTAGCCCTATATTATGTGTAATTGATAAAAATAAACAAAATAAACGGCAGAAAGTTAAACAGCTCACTACTAAATGAAAATTGAATCAAGACAAAAATCAATAAGGAAATTGAATTATTTCTAGAATTAAATTAAAATGAAAACACAACATAGTCAAACTTATGAGACACGATGAAGGCTGTTCTAAGAAGCAAATTCACAGCACTAAATGCCAAAAAAAAAAAAAAAAAAAAAAAAAAAAAACCCCTGGGGAGGTTTTATCCTAGGCATTTCTTAATCTAGTAAGTGGACAAGTGAAAGGAAACACCATAAGCCCTCTTGTCTCACTGCGCAGGAAAAGCGGCTATCTGCAGGGTGTGGGACATTCCCTTAAGACAGAGGGGAAGGAACAGCATTTGAAGTAACTATGACACTGGGGGGAGAAGCAAGTTGGCTTATACATGAACCAGGGAAAGTGGATCAAGGGTAAAGGGGGCTGGCCATGGGCAGAGGGGAGATGGGGAGCAAAGACTCAGGGAGGGGATACCCTGGGAGGAGGACTAAAGGTAAGGCTTTGATGAACTAGGAAGGGGAGGTGGGAAGAGGGGCATCCGGAGCCCTGGGAAGACATCAGGGCTGGGAACGGTCCTAGGCTCTGATAAGACTGGGTAGGGTGAGAGCCTCTATCACCGTGTGCCTGAGTTCTCTGCTGTGCACCCCTTGCTCCTCTCTCAGAGCCTGTGGTCTGTGTCTTTCAGAGATGAAATCTACTGCCAGATCTGCAAGCAGCTCTCCGAGAACTACAGAACAAGCAGCCGGGCCCGCGGCTGGATTCTGCTCAGCCTCTGTCTGGGCTGCTTCGCACCCTCGGAGAGGTTCATGAAGGTGATGAGGGCTGAGCTGGGGTGAGACTGGACTGGGGAGGGAGGCAGTTTACAGCAGGGGCAGGCCCTGAGTCCTGGATCTTGGACCAAGTCTGGAAATCATAGCGAATGAGTAACAGTGTCTACACTGCTCTAGCCCTCAGTCTTCCCATATTTCACCTGGCTCTTTCCAGCTCCTTACCCAGGAGGGCAGGGGTCCCAGTCCAGTCCCAGGCGCATACCCTTCAAGACTAAGTTGGACATGGACTGAGGATGTAACTCACTTGGTGGTGTGCCAATTGATCCAATCCTGATTGAAGCCCTGAGTTCAATCCCCAGTACCACATAAAAACGGAAATGACGATGCATGCCTGTACCAGCCCTCAGCAAGTAGAAGCAGGGGGGTCAGACCTAAGTGTCCCACAAGGCGTCGATGCACAGTTAGGGTCTATCTTAGTGTGACTAGAACCCAGGGCTTCATCCGTGCCAGGCAGGTGCCATCACCTGAATTACACCTCCAGCCACGAAGAGTTTTAGGTTGACTTGGGTAAAAAAGAAAAGAAGCCCCCATTCTGAGTGTCTTCCTCTTCCCCCTCTTTTCTCACCACCAGTATCTGCTGAATTTCATTAGTCAAGGGCCAGCCAGCTATGGGCCCTTCTGTGCTGAACGCCTGCAGCGCACCTTCAGCAACGGGGTGCGAGCAGAACCCCCTACCTGGCTGGAGCTACAGGTGGGTGCAGTAGCCAGGGATGGGAGCTGGGCAGAACAGGGCAGGACGTCCTGTCTAGGCCTTTGTCCTTGGCTTCCGGTCCTGTGGCATCTTATTTAAAAAAAATTATTCGTTTATTTATTTGTGTGAGAGTGTGAGTGTGTGTGCGTGTGCAATCGTGTGTGCCACGGAACGCATGCAGAGGTCAGAGAATAACTTGCTGGTGTCAGCTCTCTGCTTCTACCGTGTGGGTGCCAGGAGTTAGACTCAGGTCAAGTCTTGGCAGAAATTGCCTTTACTAGCTGAGTGATCTCGCTGGCCCCTGTTGTACCTTGTGAGCCATCCCTGGTACTCAGCATGGCCTAGGCTTCAAAGCCACCATCCCTACCACTCAGGCCACGTTCCTGTTTTGTTCCTGTCTCCTGTCTACCTGGATGGGAAGATACAGCTACCCTGCTCCATGGAGAGAGCACAAGCTGATGCTTCTAGCTTCTAACACTCGCCTGTCACCGTTTGTAGCTCTGTTGGGAGCTGGTACCACCTCTACCTGCTTGGTCTCATGACACCCATGAACTCTCAAGACCTCTGAAAGGGTCATTCCAGAGCACCAGGATACAGAGAGTACTCATGTCGATGCCCTGTACTGTCCTATGTAGAGACAGCAGGCCTCCTCTGGCCATACTTCCTTCATGGTCTCTCTTCAGTTCCCAAGTTCATGGCTCTCTTCCTTCCCGTAAGTCCCGAACTGTAGGTGAACTCGAAGCCACTCACATCTGTGCAGTGTTGTGCTTAGGACCCGATGACTCAAACTGTTGTCTGAGTCAAGCTCAGCACCTTGGGTTTGCGTCTGCATGTGGCCCATTATGGGGCAGAGGCTGCATCCCAGGGCTGGAGAGACAACCTCTGAAAAATCCCCAACTCACCTCCTATGCGTGGCCAACGCAGACCATTGGACACCGCACCAGGCCACAACCAGACCCTGGGTCTTCTGAGGGTCTCACCCTCGGGACTCCACAGGGACAAGCAAACTTGGGGATGGGGAACCTCTAGAGTCAGGTTCCGGGGTCCAGGACTACAGAGCACCACCCGTCTGTCCCCAGGCTGTCAAGTCCAAGAAGCATATCCCGATCCAGGTCATCCTGGCAACTGGAGGGAGCCTGACTGTCTCTGTGGATTCCGCCTCCACATCACAGGAGATCTGCCAGCACATCGCTCAGAAACAGGGCCTCAGGGACCGTCTGGGCTTCTCCCTCCAGGTCGCCGTGTATGACAAGGTAACAAGCAGGAGGCACATTCCACAGGTGCCTCCTCTACATACCTGAGCCAGAGCACCTGAAGCTAGAGGCTGTCCCTATTAACCTGCCCTGCCTGCATCTTCAGCCATCACACGCACACACACACACACACACACACACACACACACACACACACACACGCACACACGCACACACATGCACACACACACGCACACGCACACACACACATGCATGTATAGGCATGTACATACATACACATGTGTGCACAGACATTCATATGTACACATGCGCAGATATACACACCTACACAAACACACACACCAGAAGTGCCTACCCCCAGATGTCCAGTCCTCCTGGTGCAGGCCAGCAGTTGCCCCTTTACCCAGATAGGGCTAGACATGATGGAGCCTTCACTCCCAAACTCAGGAACATTCACACTAACCTGTGGGAGTCAAACTCCACCTTCTTTGGGAGGCATCTGGGGAAGCGATGCACAGACCGTGATCCCTGGAAGGACATCTTCTGGGAGCTGAGTGGACAGTTGTTGGTAAAGCATGTACAGGAACATTCCAGTCTCCCAGAACCGTGTGAACAATCTGAGCGTGGTGGCGGGTGCCGCAGCACTGCATGGATGGTGATAAGAGGATCCCAGGGGCTCATTGGCCAGCAAATGCAGCCAAATCAGTGAGTTCTGGGTTCAGTGAGAGATCCTATCTCAAAAACTAAGGTGCAGAGCAATTAAGGAAGATTTACCATCTGCCTGTGACCTCCACAAGCACGTACACACACACAGAGAGAGACAGACAGACAGACAGAGAGAGAAATACATATGCACACAAAAAGAAAGTGGCTTCTTGGCTCACACAGGGCATCACAGGCCCTGTCTTCCACATACAGTGTGAAGGGTAGATGTATAGCCGCTGTTAACCCTTTCTGCCCCCAATTCTGGCCTCAGTTCTGGTCCCTGGGCAGCGGCTCTGACCACGTGATGGATGCTGTGGCCCAGTGCGAACAACTGGCCCGAGAGAGGGGCGAGAGCCAGCGCCAGTCGCCCTGGCGCATGTACTTCCGGAAGGAGTTCTTCACCCCTTGGCATGACTCCAGGGAGGACTCTGTGAGCACTGAGCTCATTTACCACCAAGTCCTCCACGGAGTGTGGTCTGGCGAGTATAACTTTGAGAAGGTGAGGAGCCCTGAGCCGGTGGCCATCGGGATGCTCCACAGTACGGGGACCCGGGGGCAATGGAAATAAGATAGAATGTGGCAGACAGGAGGTGGAGGGATGAGGATGGAAAGGGAGTTACAAGGACGCAGGTGTGGAGCCTGAACTGGGCACAGCCCTCTCTTTCCGGGCCTGGCCTGTTTCTTCTTCCTGTGGATTGCAGCTTTGCTTGGGCTTCTGGGATCCTTGGCACCCACAGTATCAGGCGGGGAAGGCCTCCTTATCTGCCCCAGGCTTCCTGGCCTCCCACAGCAGCTGCTCATGGAGCAGCAGGGCCTGACAGTCAGGAATGCAGCCCGGGAGTTAGGTGGCAGATTAAACAACGCCCTGGGCCTCATCCCTGGCATTGAACAGGGCAGTGGACGCCGTAATCCCAGCGACTGGGAGGTGGAGGCAAGAGGTGCAGAAGGTCAAGGCTATTCTTGGATACGTAGGAAGTTTGATGCCAGCCTGAGATACATGAGACTATTCTGTGTTGAGGGGGATGGAGAAGAAAGAAAAAAGGGGGGAAGAGGAGGAAGAAAATACAGAAGAGGAGGGGAGGAAAGAAGAAGGGGAGGGAGCGACCCTTGGGCTCACATCTAGAATATGTAAGATGCCAAGAGCTCTAACAACGGGGTGCACTGTGACGATGTGGCGCCAGGTGCAAATGCCCTGTGCCACATCAGCAGGCTGGTCTTGAAGCCCGGCAGCCACAGGCAGGAAGGGGCAGCCACTGTGCTCTCTTGGCATGGGAAGACTATACCCCACTTGGAGAAGCAGTGGGGGGGAGGGTTAGGACAGATGGCTGCTCTTGCTTCCCACCTTGTGTGAGAGGCTGGTGAGCCCCACTGCGCTGAGACAGGAGCAGCCTCAGGGCCCTCCTGGGCCCTCACTCACACCTCTCACACCCCTACTGTCCTGGCGCACAGGAGGAAGAGCTGGTTCAGCTGCTGGCCCGGCACTGCTATGTGAAGTTTGGGGCCACAGTGAAGAATGGCGCTGTCCAGGAGCTGTTGCCCAGCTGTGTTCCCTCCAAGCTGTACCGGACCAAGTCTCCAGAGAAGTGGGCTAGCATTGTTATCGCTGCCCATGCCAAGGTCCGTCTGTGGCAGGCTGGGTACTCTGGGCCTACTCTGACCCTAAGCTTTCCTTTGAGGGGAGATTAGAGTAATGGATCCCTTCCCTTATGAGTCTCCCCACATGCTAGGGACCAGGGAGCTTTAACGGATGCAGTGCTGACTCAAGAGACAAAATGTCCCCTGTAGCTCTGCACCTCACCACGGGTTCCCATCACCTGTCCTCCTCCCTCTAGGTGGGCCTCTTGGTCTCAAACTGCTCTGCCCAGCAGCACCTAGATAACCCTGGGCCTAGATATTCCACAGCTGCTGAATATTGACAGTTCTGTGGCCCTGGCACAGGCTCATCATGTCTTTCTTTCATGCTCATATCGAAGCCTCTCAGTGCCCCCTTACCAGGCACATGAGAAATCTTAGGTCAGCGTGTAAACATCCTAAGCGTTTGGTACATGTGGCAAATGGCCAAATCACTCTTCATATATGATGTGGCCATTTACATTCCTAGAGTCGGCACGTGAGTGTTTCAAAGTGGAAATGAGAAATGGCATTTGATCCAGCAGAAAAAGAAAACTTGGATACATCACAGACACAATGCATGTTAGGGAGGGAAAAAGGCAAGCTGAAAAAGGGAGGAACTAAAAGGAAGACAGAAGCAGAAACCTCTGCAAGAGGTCCCCAAAAATGATGAAGAATTCCAAGAAGAAAGCCAGAGGGAGGTGCCCAGGATCCAGGGACACACGGCAAGCTGCCCCTCATAGGCACTCACTGGCAACAGGAAGCCTGTGTTAGTCAGTTATTGCTTCAAGAAAATGGCTCAGATGATTCACTTAAAAGGAGGAAGGAGGGGGTGTGAGCTGGCTTGGTGGATAAGGGGCTTGCTGTGCAAAGCTGACAACCTGAGTTTGGATCTCCAGAGCCCATGAAAAGCTGGGTGAGGCACGCAAGCATGTGCAATTCCGATGTGTGCTTCCAGGGAGATGGGGAGCAGGGACAGGGGAATCTCCAGGACCCTGGGAGCCAGCTAGCCCAGCATATGCGGAAGTGAGCAACAAGAGACCTTGTGTCAATCAAGGCAGAAGGCTAGGACCAACACTGGAAGTTGTCCTTGGCCCTCCCACACGGCGGAGTGATGGAGGTGGTGCCTGGCGTTTTCCCCTTCATATAGGCCCCGTATACCCAGTCGAAGGCCACCCCACTGGCAGTGAGGGAGCAGACAGTGGAGGCTGCCCGTTTTCTGTGGCCCCTGCTTTTCTCCCGACTATTTGAAGTCACCACTCTCTCTGGTAAGAGCATCTGGTGTGGTGGGGGTGGGGAGGACAGGAAGCGGCTCCCAGTGGCTGGCATGGCCTTTACTCTGGGTTGCTTTTTGGTCAGGCCCCCGCCTTCCCAAGACACAGCTGATTTTGGCCGTTAACTGGAAGGGGATGTACTTCCTGGACCAGAAGGAGAGGACACTGCTGGGGCTGTCCTTCGCAGAGGTCATGGGTCTGGTCGCCAACAGGTAAACCTCAAATCTGTTGCTTCCCAACCTGAGTCCTCGGTATAGATGCGTATGGAACCTGAAACAGAAAGTCCTGACCATGTTTGCCCACAGCTCCTTGACCACAGTCTTGACAGGTGGTTGCACCAGGCACACAGTACCACTGCATCCTGGGGTCAACTGTCCACTCTCCTGGACAACTCAAAGTCCGCAGCATTAGCTGCTGTATTAGTGAATTGTCTTGCTGCCTTGCAAAACTACATGGCATAAGTAGCTTAAGGGAGAGAGTTTGTTTTTGCTCACAGTTCGAGGGTACACAGTCCATCGTGGCAGGAAAGGCAGACAGCAAGGCGCATGAGGCAGGTGGTCCCCTTGTGTCCAGAGCTAGGAAAAGAGAGAGATGAGCGCCGATATCCAGCTCACTTTCTCCTTCGCATCCAGTCAGGGATCTGACCTTATGGAATGCTGTACCCCAATGTAGAGTGGGTCTTCCCACATCAGCTAACCCAACCTAGAAACTCCATCAGTTACACCCAGAGGTTTGCCACATAGGTGGTCTAGATGCTAACAAGGTGACAATCTGTATTAACTATTTCACTCATTCTGTAGAGAAGTAAACTGAGGCACACCAGCTAGGTAACTGTCCCAGGTTCCAGAGTAGGCCTATAGCTTTCTGTGTAATGCTCCTCATTGTCTGCTTTGAGCAGCCTTACATGCTGGAGAACAGTACACCCCACTGCCTCTGGGACCCAGAGATCTGCTAGTCATGTGTCCATCACCTAACATGCTGCCTGGGACTTGGACCAACCTGGACTCAGACCAAGCTCTTCTAAGTCCCTTGTTTTCTCATATGTAACACTGGAATTGTCACCTTCTCCGAGGCTGCTCAGGGGCTAAAACAAGAGAGAGTAGGGCAGGTTCCAGGTCACACTACACCCTTTGTGCCCTCAGGGACGCCCCAGGTGGACAGAAACTACTCCTGTCCACACTGCATGAAGAGTACGAGTTCGTCTCCCCCAGCAGCGTGGCCATCGCTGAGATGGTGGCTTTGTTCCTGGGAGGCTTGAAGGAGAGGTCTGTGTTCGCCATGGCCCTGCAGGACAGGAAGGCCACAGGTACCTATTGGGAAAGGGGAGGGACGGCATCCCATGGGACTAGTAGAGAAGGGTGGCCTTCTCATATCCAAGAGACCCCAGGCAAGGCTTAGAGACACGAGCATCCATTTTACAGGGTCAGCTTCAGCAAGGGCCCCATCTGAAGGGGTTAAAGGATGAGGTCTTACACACCCACACACACACACACACACACACACACACTAAGGCCACCAGTGCTTTCATGGTCACTCGCAAGGTTAACTCACATCTGCAGGACTTACATACCATCCCTATAACCATCCAGTTATCTTATTTTACAGACACAAGACCAGAGGCTCACACAGAGGGATAGTTCACCCAGCACCACACGTCCTTCCCTGAAAGTCCTCACTGCAACAGGAGCTGGGCTGAAACCTGTAGGCCAGCATCAGGCTCCAGATGTCAGCCATTGACACTGGCTACACGCACTGTAGGCAAACTAGCCCAGATTCGGATGAAAGGGCTCTGTAGGAGCTTTTAAACTCTGTGAGGAATGTCAGAGAGTGTTGCCCTGTCTTCCCAATAATCCTCACTCATGGTCGTGAACGAAACACCATCAGAGGCATACAGATTTGCACGTGGGTTCAGAGGTCAAGTCACAGACCCTCTGGCCAGGCATGTAAACCACTAGCTCTGCAGTCTGCCCCCTGCCCGGCCACTTCCCAGCCCCTAGGTAGGTCCCAGTGGTCTATTAGGCTGGGCTGCCATGAGAGTTCCCATGCCCTGCTTGTCACCAGCAAGTGACAGTTCTGCACCATCCTCTCAGGGCGGCCTTGGGTCCATGGTTCCAAGCCTCATTTCTCTGAAATGCCAGTGTAGCCTGGGGACTTTGGAGAGCCCTCAGCAAATGTTGCATTCTTGCCTCTATATGTGCCTTGGACCTGCAGATGATGTCACCCTTCTGTCCTTCAAGAAAGGCGACTTACTGATCCTGACCAAGAAACAGGGACTTCTGGCCTCAGAGAACTGGGTCCTGGGACAGAATGACAGAACAGGCAAGACAGGGCTGGTGCCCACGGCCTGCCTCTATAACATCCCTTCAGTAACCAAGCCCTCAGCCCAGCTGCTGGTATGTCACATGGGTGTCTCTGGTCTGCTGGGGTGCTGTTAGCAGGGTCTTAGGATATCTGAACTGGGGCCTCACCTACTGTCTTCCTCATAGACATCCAGAAGGACCACATGGGCGTTAGGGCAGCTCTACCAATCCTCGTTAACCCTAGTGTGATGGTGAAGCTGGCATATTTATGCAGGAGCACGTAGTATGCTCGGTTGCTGTCTTCCTCCCACTATGGAAATGTCCTGGAGACAACACCCTTCCTCAGTCCAGGCTGTCCACATCTTCCCTTGCCCCAAGGATACCCCATGCCAGCCAGTCCCAAGAGCTGCTCTTTGGGAAACCAGAGACAGGCAGGTCCTCTAACACACACACACACACACACACACACACACACACACACACACACACA